TGAGAGAGAAAGCGATACCTAGAGAGAGAAAGCGACGAACCAGAGTTCCCAAGCGTCATAGATCGATCTTCAACACCATTGGAGCCCGGCTTGAGCTTGGAGAAGTGCGATTAAACGTCCAGGAGCATAAATCCCTCTTCACAGTATGATTTCCGCGTCTGAATCTGCTTTTGCTTCTTTCTCTATGGAGTAGTTCCCCCATTCATCTGGGTATGGGGAACCCTATATTTGTATGCTAGGTCTGATTGTATGAACCCAAGTACAGAGTTTGTGAATTGATTATATTCGATTGAGGTTTGAATGATTGAATGACTTGAATCCTGATCAAATTCCTGTTGTTTCTGCTTTGACCTAGAATGAGAATATCTGCCTAGGTTGATAGAGTACCCTTAATCGAAGGTGGCGAATTGGTGACTTTAGTCGAGGAGCCAATTCGCTATTCTGTACCGAATTCAATTCGGTAGTGGAGGTTTGGTTCGCTAGGGCCTCAATCTGTTTAATCCGGTGGAGGTTAGTCGCCCGCTAGAGACTCAGATTGAGAGGGTCTGGAGACCTTTAGTCGAGACTTCAGGCTAATTAAGAACCTTCCGCAGTATAACTTTCATGAAAACTGAACTTGGTAAATTGCAATCCGACTTAACTGCAGTCTAGGGGGAACCATATCCGGGTGACCTCTCTTGACTTGACAACAACCGTTTATTTGCTTTGTGTTTTGTTTGCTTGAGTTGCACTAAAAGTTCACCGCTAAATAACAAGAATTCACCGAGTAGTCATCACATCTAGGACCCGGGTTGACAATAAAACCCAAACCCGCTATACTACGCTTTAGGAAGTGGTTGCACTTGGCCATTTTCTAGAGTGACAGTAGGAGTGAGTCACCTGCTAAGACAATCAGCAACACAGTCCCTCAAGCCCAAAGCTTCAAGCACATATGGATCTGAAATATCATACAACTCAAATATCATTAGTTCAAATATTTCATATTGAATTGGAGTACTGAATATGCAGAAGTTATATAGAATTCTTAAATTAGTATTTATTTTTGAAACTATTATGAAATAATCATATTCATATCTTTGTCTAAACAATATGGGATTTTTTCTTTGAACATTTTGGTTTGGAAAACCGCTAAATTGTAAACCTCTTCCTATTCTTACATGATGGACCCGACAAAGTATACGAGGCTGAGTGTAATAAATTGGTTTATTTCAAATTTTTTTAATGTGCTAATGAATTTGTAGGGCAAGGAAATGTCTACATACACACTCTACAAAATATATAATACTGGAATGAGAAAATAATACTCTCATTTCAAATTTTCTACAACAAGAGCGAAAGTAGGAATGATATTTTTGCTTCACAATTATTTATTAGAAAATAGGCAAAGTATTGGATTGAACTCATGTATCTTCAAACAATGACAAGAGTCATAACCATAATTGTCAATTCGAGTTGAATTAGTCAGTTGAACCAATAATGCTCAAACCCGAGTATCTCACCTGGCTCTGAACTCTCAGTTGGTTATCTAATTGGGCTCAGTTAAACCCAGGAAAAGCCAATCAAATTGATAAATCCAACCGATTCTACAAATTGGTTTGAGCACTAGGCCACTTCAAAATGAAGTCGTTTTCAAAAATCATATATGTAGTTTCGTCGTCATGTCGTGACTTTTCTTATAACATACCCGTACATCAGTGAGGATCAACAATCCCATCGTCTGTTCTATTTCATTTAGCTTTGACAGGAAACAATACGAGTCTCAACCATCTTGTCGCAACCTCCCCTCCGAAATCGGGGGATACGACGCGACACGCTCGGAGTCGCCATCGACCTTATTGTGGTGGATCGAACACCTTTTTCCGGTTTTGTTATTTAGGTTAAAACCAGAAATCTGGTCTGCGAATTTTAGGTTTATGGGTTCGGGAGTACGATTACGTGTGGGGAAGTGTATTCACACCCCACAACGCCCCAAATGGGTACTACTTAAATCGATAAGTTTTTAAGGGTTGGGTGTATTATTATTACTTGGCTTATTTGTGTATTTAATCATATAAAATTATTTATAATTATATTGGGTGTATTTGTTAGAGTCCAATTGGAAGATATGATTAGCGTAAATTTTGAATTGTTGTAGTTACTTGATAATGTTTACGTCTATCGACGTAAAAATATTTTTTAGATTGGTTGGACTCGAACCTATTGGTTGCCTACGTACCCGAGTAGTCGGGATCAAAGTCCACGTAGTTCGGTTAACAAAGTTTGTTTATTTTTTAGAATTTGTTGTCTATTTTAATCTTTTGAAATTTTGATTTGGAAGTATTGGCTTGGAAGGAGATTTGATACGAGAAAAATTACCATAGTCTATTGATCCTGGTATTTCGTATTAAGGATCTCCAAACAAAGTAAAATTGTGATCAATCTTCTTTCAAAACAAGGTTAAATACTTTGATATTAAGGATTTTCAATAGTTAGTTTTTAGAATAATCTTAAAGTGAGATAAATTAGAGAACTTGTGTTGTTAATTTAAGTTTGCATATCGAGGGTTTAAAGTTAGTAAATAGTGAGTAGTTAATATCTATACATGTAATTTACGATTAACCTACTGGTTAAACGCTTGATTTTCGCTATTAACGAGGCTAAAGTCTCTGGTTCGAAACCTAGGGGATTTTTTTCCAGCCAATTTCCTTTTTTAGCAGAAATCAAAACGAGGGTATTTTGGTAAATGACAAAAACGCGGTGGCAATGCCACGTAAAATCTGGAAACCCTAGGGGTAAAATTGTTATTTCGCCTGTTTGGTTATATATTCGTTTTAACAACAGAATCTTAACCCTAAACCAATCTAATTGATCGGCCGCCTCTCACTTCATTCTCCCCCCTCGTTTTCTCTCGCCTGTTCATCTCTTCTTCTTTCCCAGAAACCCGAGCTAGCAAAAAGATGAACAAAGCCCTAACTCTTTCAAACGCCTCCAACCTTCTTCTTCCCCCTCTCAAAACCGACTTCCAATCTCCCAAATCGAACAAAACCCAATCGAAAAAAAACGAATCCCCATCGCCTCCCTCTTCCTCTTAAGTTCTGTTGGTGACGAGGAAAAGGAAAAGAGATTCAAGCGACGGCGAGCAAGGAGAACCGCCGGCGATTGATGATGACGGAGACGAAGGTAAGGACTTTTGCATGTTTATCTTTGGCGGTTTCTGTTTCTGATTGTATTTTTATTTTTTCGGATCTTAATGGGTTTAAGATTCCGATTGTGTGTGTTTCTTTTGGGATTGATGGCGGGGTTTCTGATATTAGAGAAAAGGGAGGCAAAGGTCACCGGATCGGAATCCGCCGGCGATGAAGCTCGACAAAGGATCCGAGGAGAGCGCCAAGTGGAAGAAAAAGGGAGACACCGGCGACGGAGGAAAGCTACCCTCGTCGGCGACGACGAAACAGGAGGAACCCGACGGTAGGTCTGGGGTTTTTTTGCCCTTTTTATAATCTGATGGTTTGGTTTAAATTTTAATCTGCATTTTTTAGAGTTATGATTTCCATTGTTTGTTTCTTTTATGAGTTTCGGATGGCGGATGAAAAGGGGAGAACGGAGCCACCACCGACTCTGCATCTCTCCGGCGGCAGAAGAGAAATCCACGGCGGTGCTTTTCTGGTGGGTTATTCTTAGGCTTTCTGGGTTGGTATTGTTATTGGTAATCGGTTTTAATTGTGAATTCTGAAGATTAATGGCTGAGAAACTCTGTTTTCGTAATCAACTTTGAATGGTTAGAATAAGCTTTGTACACTCTATACTAACTGGAGTTTTTTGTGGTTTTATTTACTGTAGCTTAGAGTGTGGGTTTAAATTGCCGTGATTATGTGTTTTTTTATGATTGGTTTAATCATGTGAATCGGTTTTTGGTGATTGTGATTGTTTTTTGTTAAGAAATTGTATGTGCCAAATCTGTGTTTGATTACTTATGAATTTGGATTTTTGCTTAGTTACTTATGTAGTGGAGCATACCCGATAAAAATTAAGTCTTCAAGACTAGAACATGAAAGAAAACGAATCTGATTTTCTGTTTTTATATTGGAAGTGCTAAATAAAGAGAAGATAACGTAGTGGAAGTTTAATCAAAATGATATATGAAACGTATAGTTATGCATCTATTAGCAGATTAGTAATTATAGAAATAATATACATAACTATAAGTTAGTTATCTCAACCGGAGGAAAACTATATTGAATAAAAATACATGTATGCTATGTAGTTTTTTTTATTTCTGAGTAGTTTATAGAGATACAAATTTTTTATTTAAAAATACATGTATGCTATGTAGTTCATAGAGATATAATTTAGGAGAAAATTAGGTACAATAATGATAATTATAGCAAGTAGTTGGATTGCAATAATTCAGATTTTGATCCCTTTTAAGGTGTTTTGATCAGCTTGATTTAAGGCAAGGTGATGGCTTTGTATTCTTGAAATTGGGTGTTCATGGTGACATTGGTTTTGGAAATAGTGCTGTGTTTATGTTTTGAAGTTTGTGGGTTCATATGGGGTTTGAAACTGAAATTTTGTGGGTGTATGGTGAATAACTGGGGAATTTAGCTTAGTGATGGTTAGGTGTATAGTCCAACATATGATAACAAACATACAAAAATAAGCAGAACGGCCAAAAAAATAGTAAATGATGAACAAATATAGATTTAAAGATCTAGTAGTGTAGTACGCTTAAACATGAAATATTTAAATGAAAGTACTGAGATAAATAGGAAAGTAAATATAATGAACCCATAAGGAAAAGCAATATATCTGATTTGTTGATTGCTTTTGTTATTATAGTGAGAATTGCCGACTTGTAATTTGCTTTGAAAATCGATTGGGCTTGATTGCTTTTGGAGTTTTATTTGGGTCAGATTGTAATTTGATTGGGGTTGATTGAGTTTGGTTTTGAAAAGAACTTAATAAGATGATTGGATGATGAATGATAAAGATGATGGTTTGGAATTTACTTTGCTACCAACCTTTTGACTTTTTCTGTTGTTTGGGTGATGATTCTGCCTCTCCTTGATTCTCTGAGCTTCTTTGTCTGCTATCTCCTTTGTGCTTTTGCTGATGTTGGTGGCAGGGGAGGATGTTTGTGGTGAGAGTTTTTGTTGTTGTTCCTTTTGGATTTCTTTTTGGCTTCTGTTTGTGTGTGTTTGTTTATGCGGGGAAGAGGAAATGGAGTTGTGGTTTCTTTGCTGTCTTTCGGAAAGGGAGAAGAAGAATCGAGGACAGGAAGCTTGGGGAGAAAGAAGATGGAGAAGAAGTGAGGAAGTAGCCTTTTGTTATGTATGAAGAAGGAAAGAGTAAAGTCTGATTTTGCAGAGTTTATTTTTGTTGGTTTTGATTGCTCTTTTATGTTTGTTTGGTCAGGAAAGGAAGAGGGGAGTGCCAAGAAGATTGAAGAAGAAGCGAGGGAGTCTGCAGGGGGGTGGTTTTTGCAGAGTTTGGTTTCCGAGAAGCCTCCTCCCCGTTGTAAGTGCCCAAAGGGCTCTTTTTATAGAAAGAGGCTGCTTAGGCAGCAAGCAAGCTACCATACCCAATTTGGTCTGACCGGGTTTGGGTCATTGGTTGGACCAGGCTTGGGTTTTGGGTTCGATTGGTCATGGGTTAGGTCAGAACAGGTAAACGGATCAGTTTGGCCAGCGTTGACTTTTGTTGACAGTTGACTCCTTGGTTGGGCTTTGACTTGAGCCCAATCTCTTTTATTTATACAATTTTAAAGGTCATTTATGTAACAACTTTGTAGTAATGTATTTGTACATGTAAATGGAATTTATTTTAATAAGATTGTTATTTTTTTTCTTTATCTTTAATGTAATAATGTTCCAAAGTTGAGTCCAATCCTCACTAGATCCACTGTCTTAAGAAAACGATCAAACTCATACGGTAGCAAAATGAAGTCTATGTCTCGCTTGTCTGATCAAAGCAAAAAAGAAAAAAGTCAACTCTCATCATCGTATCGATCAAGATTTGCTATTGCTTAATCTCGTCAAGTTATGACGATCACGACCAATCTTGAGCACTATCAATATGTTTTAGCTTGAAAATCATTTAAGATTTGCTATTGCAAATCTTCAATAAAAACTAAATTTTATTTAAGTAAAAAGGTTTTAGCCCGGACAAAAAGTGGTGTCTACAGTTGCCCCCTTTGTATATCTCTTGGTATTTGAGAGGTATACAAAGTTATCTTAAAACACCATTTTTGCCGGTTTAGATATTGTCAAAAGCTATACAAAGTATCAATCAGTTCAAGCAACAGTATAGCTTGTTTGTTCCCATGCGGTATAGCAAAAATGACTTGCTTACTCTCATGGCGGTATGGCCTGGTTTAGAGTATGGACTTGTTTAGTTTTTTTTTTCCATGGTGGTAGAGCCTGATTTGGGTTTTGTTAACATGGTGGTTCAACCTAGTTGGGATTTTCATCCATGGCGGTACAGCTTGATTTCGTTCTATCTTGTTCCCATGGCGGTATAGCCTGACCTGGGGTTTTTGCCTGTAGTCGTATAGGCTGGTTTGGTTTATGTATGGCGATATGGTCTGAGTTGGTTTTCAGGTAATTTGGAAGTAGGACCTGAGTTGCTATTTAGGTATCTTGGCGGTAGGGCCCGAGTTGGCATTTAGTTATCTTGGCGGTAGGGCCTGAGTTGGTATTTGGTATTTTGGCGGTATAGCCTGACTAGAGTTTTCTGGTTTCATGGCGGTATAGCCCGTTTTAGGAGTGTTTTTCATGGCAGTATAACCTGATTTGGGTTTTTCGTCCAATGGCGGTATAACTTGACTTGTTTTTAGTCTTGTGGCGATATAGCCTGGTTTTGTTTTTTAATGATCCGGTAGCGGTATAGCCTAATTTAGATTCTTTTTGTATGGCGGTATAGCCTACTTTGATTTTTGTTTGGCGGTATAGCCTGCGTTATTTTTTGTATGGCGGTATAGCCTGTTTTTGATTTTTTGAATGGCGGTATAGCCTGCTTTGGGTTCTGCATGGCGGTATAGCCTTCACTGTTTTTATCTTGTTCCCGTAGCGGTATAGCCTGATTTGAGGTTATCTTGTTCCGTGGCGATGTAGCTTAATTGATCATGTGTGTCTTGGCGATAAAATTCACGAGGATAGGCGAAAGCTTAACTCGATGACGAGTGGCATAGATTTGTGTGCTTTATATGAGGTGCCGAATCAAGCAAATTGTTGAGTCTAGGTGTATCTTTGGTATGTGTCCAATTTGACTTGTAAATATTGTCTAGACGTCGTATGGGCGGGAAAATGCAAGATGTTGTATGACGTGATATGACATGATGTAATGTCATGATTCGAAATGTTGTTGAAAGGGTATTGCCTGATTGATATTTACTTGGGCTGTGAATTCCTTGAAGCTAGTCATTTAATGAATGATATGATATGAAGTGCATTCGATGAAAAGTTGTATGATAAGTCATATGATGATGTCTTGAAGAGTATGCGTATGAAAAAGTATGATTGCTCATTATGGTTTATCAATTTTATGTCGAGGATTCTCTTAAATTGATAATCCACAAGGAACTATGTCATTGTCCCTTTTAGTAAACGTTATTTATAGTTTTGGTGGTGCTGGAGTAGCATGGGTGCTACCAATGGGTTCATTCTTCCTTCGGCGCGAGCCATCATCGCAAGGTATTGGGTTTGCCATCTAGTATCTCTTCTTTGTCTCCTCGGTGATCCCAATGCATGTAATTTTGGGGGACTACTGAAAGGTTGGTCCCCTACTTTCTCCACCTTAGACATCGATGCTTGAGTGGCTGATGTGTTAGCCGTATGATCTTCTTGTTCATGAGTTGTGTTTGGTAGGTTGATTTGTAGGAGGCTTTTGTACCATGGTGGCCTCGGAATAATGTGCTCATTTAGTTTGATCTTCTTGCCATATGAGCATGTCGTGCTTGGCTAAGAGGAATTTTTTTATCTCGGGGTATTGTCTTGTTGATGTCAGTTTTCTAGACATGCTTGATTGATTTCACCGAGAGGTATGATGTACAAAATATTTCGTTGAAGGATAGTTTGATTGACAGGTTGGGTAGCTTGAACATAATGATTCAGAATATCTGAGATTCCCCATTTACTCATGAGTTGATGGACTTGGAGAACCTCTTCATGGGTATTTGAACTGCTTCTACTCCGGGTCTTCTCACCTTGCCCCCGTAGATATGTTACTTGTTTTCTTCTTTTCGGAACAAAATGTGACTTTTACCAATCTTGACTTAAGATGAATGCAACAAAGTTTGGAAATTCTCATTTGAGAAAGTATGATGAGAACCTGATTTTAGAAATCAAAGCCTTGCTTTAGAGACGTGTGTGCAATTTGAGAAAAATTAGTTCTTTTGTGGTTATTGCCACGTTGTTTAAAAACCTTTTTTATAAGCCAAGCCACGAGAATATCCATAAGCCCTCGCTTTCAGTCTCACTTTTACGGTCAATTTCACTCTCACACATTCCTATGGGTGCTTCGAGTATACGACACTTTGGCTGCTATCAAGATTCTGGTCATCATTTTGATGGATAAATGCGCTTGAGGAATAGGTTTGATGATCATGGAGAGTTCGAGCGATCTTTGTATGGTCTTGTTGCGGGATTTCTTGAATTTTCCAGAAACGAGGCTCTTTTTCTATATGGGTTCCAATCGTAAGAGTTCTCGTGTTTTGAGAAGTTTACTTTCCCCAAATGAGAGGCGGGTAAAGGAAATTTATATGGAATTTGACTTTAGTCGTGTTGAGGGATATTTGGCTTGTCTCCAAGGTATGAGACGGCTTGATGGAAATATGAGATCATCCCTTCTTGTCCTAAAAAGTTTCTTGTGGAGGGATATTTGGCTTGCCCCCAAAGTATGAGATCGACTGATGGATTGAGGAGATCTTTGTCGAGGAAGTTTCATTTTCATCGAGAATGGTGGCTCATCTCGGGCATCTTGGTGGATATATATTTGGCTCAAGTTGCCCCCTTGTCTTGAAACTTGGTTCAGAGAGGTGGGGTTGAGTAATCAGTATCCAAGATCATTTGAGTAGAAAATTCGATTATGAAAATATTCTCACTTGTTGAGATCCATGTTTGACCTCAAAAGGATGGGTAAGGAGATATGGGTATGACGCAAACTTTGACTTCTCATCGGATCTCGAAATGATGAATGTTGAAAACCCTTGTACGATGTAGTGATGGTCGTCAAAGTCTTCTATCATGGGGATTCTTGTTTGACTTGAATGCGAGACTTCAAGTGATTGATAATGAGGATGATCATGGGGCTTGATTTTAGATCAAGCAAACCTTCTTGTCTTGGGATCCCCATCTTATTCGAGTTTACTTACATCATTTCCTCAGGCTTGGCAGACGAATACCCTTCTTTTGAAGATGTGATTAATTTGATACTAGCCTCGCATTAGTGCTCAAATCAGGTTGATCGAGAGAATGACTCTACATTGCTCTTGTGACCACTTTGACGGCAGACTCGAAATCATCCTTTTGGCCTTTTAGAAAGGTAGTCAATAACCTTTATTCGTGACTTGCTTGAGAATTATGACTTCAAGTGCTCATGCATCGGTATCCAAAGTGTAAGGTCCCATGAGCTTTTTCTATTTTGATTTTTTCATGCCTTTTTGGCTTTTTTTTTTGCTCTTTTTTTTGTGTGGGACTTACTTGGCTTTGCTATGCCCCCATATATATTTCTATTTTGGCGCTTTTGATTTTTGTATACGAGCATGAAGTTGTTAGGAGATTTGTCAATATATCAATCTTTGTGAGTGGTCCTCCTTGTTGGCTAGGCCACTTGGTCATTCCTTTCTCGAAGAAGCGAGATATCTGGTGCTGGCACATATTGTTAGAATGCTTTTTCTGCTTGAATAGCCCACAATTCGGACTTAGGCATGTAGGCATTTGGACAATGGGGCTTTTTGTTTCATTAAAACCTCAACTGATGATGTGAGTTTGTCAAATTGGATCATTCAACCTCCTCAATCTTCTGGCCGTTAGGGCTTTGTGGGAAGTTGGCTATTATGATGTCGGCATATCGGTGCTCATGGACTATGATTTGGCTACTCAACCTCCTTTCTAGCCGAGCCTTAATTTGATAGAGGAGATTGGTTAGGGTAGTGACAAGCTTCTATAAGCAGCCTAGTGTTGTAACCCCGTTACACCCTTTGACTATTTAGCTAAGTAAACAGTTGACCCCAGTGGGTGTTTATGCTCTCGATTATGGTAAAATGTGCACACTCTCAATATGAGTGGATTGCACAAATTATGGCACCAGTAGGGTGCTTATAACCACTCGGCACCAGTGGGGTGCATATAATGGCTTAATATGGAAATCTCATGGCTTAACATGAAAATTTGAAATGTAGTTTTAAGGTTCCCATTTTGGAGAAAATAATTCGATTTTAAAGATTTGAAAGAGATACTCATCATTTTGCAAGGAGAAGGATCATTGATGCAAACTTCTAAATCAAGATTGAACTAGTCACACAATCCAAATCGGTGGAAATAGAGGTGGCAATTTCAATCCAATCCACCAATCCAATCCATCAATCCATTAAAAATATCCATCTAATCCAATCCATTTAAATCCAATCCATTTGATCCAAATCCAATTGGATTGGTGG